AAGTCTTATCGCGTTTGCCCAGAGATAACGGTGCCCAGTGATAGCGTGCCTCTTTTGAACCGTAAACGTTATAAGATGTTAACAAAAAAAATGTATAGCGAAGTTTCGTGCTTGGTGAAACTCAAATTAAGAATTTAATATATTAAAAGAGAAAAATAAAATTGCAAAGGAAAATTTTGTTTATGACGGACTAATACACATCATCAATATTGGGTTTATGGTAATTATATAGCCTATGAAAATCACATTATCGACCATGGATTAGCGGTAAACAAAATTAAATCCTTTGTTTTTTTGTTTTTTTTTGCCTTTGTTTTTGAGGGTACTTTGTTTTTAGTTTATAGGTTGGTATTTCGCGTTCGATGAGAGTTATAATAATGATAGCCAGGTGATGAAATTTGAAGAAAAAAGAACTTAAATCGGGGTGATTTTTTTCTCTTTTTTTGTGATTCTGACTCTATTTTGAGGTATATGTTAGCCCATATGTTCAAAAATATGTGGCTATAGCTATATGACTCTGTAATGTAATGAAAAGAACCTAGGAATGGATAGATTTTTGAAATATGGATACATAAATCGATAAAACATATATATATATATATATATATATATATATATATATTATATATTATATATATGTATGTATGTATGTATGTATATTTATATTTCTCTAGCTATACACCTATATATCTGTCTTTCTACCCATCTATCTATTTATATATCTATCCATCAGTTGATATCTCTCTCTCTCTCTCTCTCTCTCTCTCTCTCTCTCTCTCTCTCTTCTCTCTCTCTCTCTCTATATTATATATATATATATATTATATTATATATATATATATATATATGTGTGTGTGTGTGTGTGTGTGTGTGTGTGTGTGTGTGTGTGTGTGTGTGTGTGTGTGTGTGTGTGTGTGTGTGTGTGTGTTTGTGTGTGTGTGTGTGTTCCTATCTATCAATCTACCCATCTATCTACCTATATGTCTATCTGTTTATCACTGTATCTGTTTATCTATTTAGCTATCTGTACACCTATCTATCTCCAAAAGAGCGAGGGCTTAACCACTCCAGTTTAATAGAATCTAGACACGCCCACTTACAAGAGAGAGTACATGTGCTGTAACTGATTCTCCGGGAATTGGTATGGATGGAGGGCGTTTGGCAAGGCGGCAGTATGCATAGGGTGCGTCTGGAGTCTGGGCACGGAGCGGATTTTAAGCCCGGGAATTTCCTGGGAGTGAAAACGGGTGATATAGCCGTCGGGGGTGGGGTGGGGTGGGGGTGGGGTGGGGTGGGTGTTGGGGGATCTGGGAACGATGCGCTGGGGGAAATGTGGTGTATTTGTATGTAGACATGGGTACACGCACGCAAACACTCAAATACGCACACGCATATGCACAAGTACACGCACACACACACATACAGCACGCACATAGAAACACACATACACTCACACCACCTTCCTCACTCCCTCTCCCTCTCCCCCTACTTTTTTATCCCTCCTCTCCTCCTGCAACTTCCCTTGGCATTTCACCTCCTCCTCCTCCTCCTCCTCCTCCTCTCTCCTCTCCTCCTCCCCTCCTCTCTCCCGCTCCCTCCCCCTCCCACCCCACACCACCACCACCACCACCCACCACCACCCCACCACTCACCTCCTCCACCTTCCTCCTCCTCCTCCTCCTACCACCACCACTCCTCCTCTCCTCCTCCTCCTTCCTCCACCACCTCCTCTCTCCCCCTCTCCCTTCCACCTCCTCCTCTCCTCCCTCCTCCTCCTCTCCTCCTCCTCTCCTCCTCCGTCTTCCTCCCTCCTCCTCCTAGCCTCCCCCCCCGCCCCCTCCTCCTCCTCCTCTTCCTCCTTCCTCTCCCGTCCTCTCCTCCTCCCTCCCCCCCCCTGGAAGACTTCGCCGTTCAAACGGCATCAGTGAACAACGTCTTCGAGATACTTTATAACCAGCTCCGGAGTTCCCACGCATCCCCTGAGAGAACTAATTGTGCTGCTGCTCTGCCTTTTTCCCTTTCCTCTCTTCTTCTTTCTTTCTTTCTTTTTATTCTTATTATTTTCTTCTTCTTCTGTACCTTCTTTTTTCTTTTACACTTTCCTTTTCTTCTACACCTTTTTCTTCAACTTTTTATTTCCTTTTTTTTTCTTCTTCGTCGATTTTCTTTCTTTTCCTTAAACTTTTTTCTTTTTCTATTTTATTTGTTTATTTATTAATTTATTGTCGTCTCGTATCCCTTATTTTTTTGTTTTCAGTTCGTTTCTCTCCTTTCTCGTTCCTCTTTCGCTCTTGTAGTTTTCGTTCCCCTTCTGTCTCTTTTCTTACCTCATCTCTCTCCTCTTTCCATTATCCTTTTTCCTTCCTCTAATTCCTTCTCTTTATCTCTTCCCCTTCTTCAGAATTCGCTTGCCTTTGTCTCACTCTTAAATCTCTGTCTCTTTCCTTCTCTCTCTTTTCCCTTTATTCTTCTTCGCCATTATCCTCCCATCCCCTTTTCTCCCCCTCCCCCTATCTCTTTCCTCCTTTTCTCTCTATTTCCTTTATTCTTCTTCCCCATTATCCATTATTCTCCCATCCTTTTCTCTCCCCTTCCCCCTATCTCCTCTCATTTTCCATTCATTTTACCTCCGTTTCCCCTTCCATACCCCCCTCTGTACTCTCCCGCCCTTGCCCCCCCCCCTTCCCACCCTCAGGGAAATAGCGTTGCTCGAAACAGCTTTTAAGTAACGTCAACGCTTTGTCCCTCCTGATGCAAGGAGGGCGTAAGAGGGAGGGAGGGAGGGAGGGAGGGAGAAAGGGAGGAAGGAAAAAGGGAGGGAGGGAGGGAGAAGGGAGGGAGGGAGGGGGATGGGAGGTAAGGGAGGGAGATAAAGGGAAATGGAG